CACCGCAGAGGCAGCGTGGGCTGTGTGAGACTGCCCGCCACGGCCTCTGGCGCCACTCTCTGGGGCAGAGTTGAATGCTGCCAGGGGTCAGGGTCCACCCCGCCCTGCAGATGCCCTTTGACATCTAGACCTCATACATTCCACTCAGTGGAACTGACTTAGCAAATACTAAGTTGTAAACTGTCACTCAAACCAGCCATAAAGTCATCATTCATTATAAATTATTATTGCTTCTGTAGATATTGCCACTATTATTTACATTCACTTAGTTTAATGTCTGTTCTCCATTCTAAACAGTAAGCTTCATTCAGGTGGGCCCCTATCTGTCTTATCATTTCTCTTCTCCCACTTCCTGGCAGGGCCTGACACATATGTGATGCTACATGAATGAATGAATGAATGAATGAATGAACACGGACTCAGCCTTGTGTTAGATCCTCAGGGAAAATATTTCATTGTTTTTGTAAAGTGCCTGATGGTTGGCAAGGAGCTCACTGGACTGCCTTCCTCTGTGGAATGTGAGGTCATTGGGTCAGGATTTCATCTGTCTTGTTTGCCTCTGTGTCCTCAGGCCTGACATGTAGGAGAAGCTCAGTAGATAGTTGTTGAATACACGGCACGGTTTCCTTTGAGCCTCGCAGAGAGCTCCCAAGGGCAGATGCAATTCACTTCTGTTGTGCAGATGGGAAAGTGACACCCAGGAGGGTGGATGGAAGCTTGCAACTGCCATCCCAACAAAAGCTCTGAGAATGCTCATCTCTGCTGTTTCTGCCAATGTTATATGTTAGCAGCCCTTTTAAATTAAGAATCCTATGACAGGCTTATTGACCATTTGTATTTCTTCTGTTTATTTCTTATTCATACTTTTAAATCCATTTTTCTATTGGGTTTTCTGTCTTTTATTTTAATAATAATTTTACTTAACCCAACATATCCAAATATTACCATCTCAATATGTAAGCAATATAAAATTATTGAGATACATCTTTAAAAATATTTAGTCTTTGGAATCCACTACAGCATATCTCAATTTGGACATTAAATTTTTATCAAAACAAATCTAGAGACAGAAGCAGTGGTCAGATGCTCAAACCTCAGAGGGAAGGTAGGGGAAGGTGAGGGGGAGGGGAAGAGATCAACCAAAGGACTTGTATGCATGCATGTAAGCATAAGCGACGGACGCAGACAACAGTGGGTGAGGGTGAGGGCAGGACTGGGGGAATGGGGGGCGGACAATGGGGGGATAAGGACACGTTTGTAATACCTTAATCAATAAAGGAAAAAATTTTCATCAAAAATACTTGGTTTGTATTTGTATTTCATAAAAAATACATTGGAGGAAGTAGATTCACATGCCCAAATTGTTCCAGTTATACTGTGATAGGCAGAATAATGGTCCCCACAGATGCCCATGTCCTGGGAACCTGTACATGCTGCTATTCAAGAAGGGATGAAGGTTGTAGATGGGAAGGTGCTTAATCAGCTGAACTTATAAATAAATATCCTGGATTATCCAGGTGGGCCAAGTGTGAACACAAGTTGCTAAATAGTGGAAAAGAGAGGCAGGAGCCGAAACCAGTTTGGCTCAGTGGATAGAGCGTTGGCCTGCGGACTGAAAGGTCAGGTTCGATTTTCTGGCCGAGGGCACATGCCTGGATTGCAGGCTCCATCCCCCCCGCCCTCCAGGAGGCAGCCAATCAATGATTCTCATCATTGATGTTTCTATCTCTCTAGCTCTCTCCCTTCTCTGAAACCAAAAAATATATATATATTTTAAAATATATAAAAAAATAAAAGGTGGCAAGATGAAATGGCAGCGTCCTGCTTACCGACTACACCACAGAACCACAGGCGTATCAACCACCCTTCCCAGTGAAGTCAGAGGAAGGAAATCTTCATTACAACTCCCAGTGCCTTTTGTAGGTGAAGAAATAGTCCTTAATCACACAAACTACTTCTCTATAGAGCTAGAACAAAGTTGAGTTCAGAACACTGCTGACAAGTTTTTAGACTTAACTTTTCCTTCAAATTGATGAGAAGAAATTATGAGTGTTTAGGACAGAGAAGATGTTAGAGGACACGCACAGGTGACACCCAGGGTCAGTTTTCATGGCTCGCCTCCTTCAGACGTCCAGTCTCTGATCTTTCTTTTCTTGTTGAAGGGCTGCTTTGTGTGGTGTCCTCTGCTCTGACCTTTTGATCTCATTTAGGTACAGACTGTCTGCGGGCACCAGTGAGAAGATTCAGCTGAGTTCCCTCATTGCAGCTTTTCAAGTCACCAGAGACCTGATTGTCTCGGAGGCCTAGACGCTGAGGACCATTTGCTGCAGTCGCAGGCCCAGCAGTGACTAGAGAACAGGGGATCTGGTTACAGGACCAACTGCTGCCCGCGGGAGGGGATGAAGCCACAGTCACCCAGGCTTGGAAAATTCTTGTTCTAGGCATGGGTGGGCGGACATATAAAATACCTTGTTTGTGGCTGTTTGGAGCAGAGTGGACAGAACAATTTTGGTGAACAACTGTCTTGCTGCACTGCCCACTTGTGTTTTAT